ACATATTTTATCCTACAGTATAATTAAATTTGTAAATAATCGATCTCCTTTGAGCCCAAGAGTAGATCCTTTAGGGAGAAAAAGTGTGACTCCCCATAGAAGAGCTGTCCTTGGGGTATAACTGACTAAATATGATACTGATTTTACTCCGCAAGTTCTCGTGTCCGCTCATTCAAGCGGTGCTATCTCCAAACTTAACGTACACTTGAGAGGTCTTGAAACACTTCACTGACACGACTTATTGATGACCAGATAATAATTGCTCGAGAAAAGCATTTTTGCACGTACCTATTTAGCAGCAACTCGACGAGAAAATCGTGCAAGCTACCATTGATTTGATACGCTATTGACTTTACTTTACTTACTACTTACTTTTATTTCCTTCCTCAGGTATCCTTAGGATGTCGAGGGGAGGTGCAAGTTTCGATCCTGTGCTAGGTGTGAGGCGTCTGTGATAGATATGTTATGTTGTTCCAAGACCTTTTAAACCCCTTCCAGTCTGGTCTTTCTTGGTTTTCCTCTTAATTTAAAGCTATTGACTTAACTCTCAAAACTTAACGTCAGATTGAAATGTCCCGAAAGAATGAAAGTACACGAACATCCGAAAAGGTACCTATGAACGGCTATGAAATATTTACGGAACTTTTTGGGCAACGTAGAAATGCGTGTGCGGGGACTCAGCATCTATGGATCATATTATTGTCTATCACTATGTCTTGTATCACGATTGCGTTTATATAGACAGCAATGCGACATGATCAAATAAATCAACATACATGTACAGATAAATCACTACCTCAAAATTACCAAGTTCTATTTGCCCAATACCTAGTTTTGAAAAATATGACGTCTATTGTTTTTAGTGTCACAGTGTGTCAAGCTTTTTCGAAAGCAATTCTTTGAATATATTATGTTGATAAGGACTCCGAATATTCTAACGATTTTGATGGAGCAGATAAAGTGTTTGCTTTCTGACCTCGTGGTCTTAGTAAAGTGACTCAAAAAGGCCGTAAATGTAAAAAAGAACTGTGTTATTCTGAGGTAGCAAAATGTACAAGCAAGAAAAATCATATCTTACAACAGATATTAAAGCAAATTCTGAAGTCAGGACAAATCCGGATTTTTCAGAAATCCAGATTTCTTATTCGGAAAATGGGCACCTCTGACAGAGGTCACCCGCTCTGTAGTCAAGCACGATCTCAAATGAGCTTCGAGGCGCCTGCTGTTTCCACAACAGGGTAAAATAAAAAAGGGAAGAAGAGTGATATATTATAAGGACGATAGGTTATAGTTGACAGGAAGGGGCCAAACCACACCAGAGCTCCCGCCAATCACCCACAAAGATTGGATGAGCGTTGAACAGGATTGCCTGAGTGTTGCAAAGGATTGACTGTGTGTTGCAAAAGATTGGCTGAATGTTGTAAAAATTGACTAAGTGTTTGTAAAAGATTGACTAAGCGTTTGTAAAAGATTGACTAAGCGTTTGTAAAAGATTGACTAAGCGTTTGTAAAAGATTGACTAAGTGTTTGTGAAAGATTGACTGAGTGTTTGTAAAATATTGGCTGAGTGCTGTAAACGGTTATTCGAGTGTTTGTTAAGTACTGACTGAATGTTTGTGAAAGATTGGCTGAATGTTGTAAAGGATTGGCTGCAGGCTGTAAAACGTTGTCTGAGTGTTTGTAAAAGATTGACTGAGTGTTGTAATAGATTGACTGAGTGTTGTAAAAGATTGATTGAGTGTTGTAAAAGATTGGCTGACTGTTGTAAAAGATTGGCCCAGTGATTTTAAAGGATTGACGGGGTGTTTGTAACCAATTGACTGAGTGTTTGTAAAAGATTGACTGAATGTTGTATAATATTAATTTGAGTGTGTGTAAAAGATTGACTGAGTGTTGTATGATATTGATTTGAGTGTTTGTAAAAGATTGACTGATTGTTATAAAGGATTGTCTTAATGTTTTAAAAGACCGACTGGTTGTCTGTAAAAGATTGGGCGACCGTTTGTAAGGGATTGGCTAAGTTTAAAAATTTGGGACACCGTTTGTGAAGGATTGGCGGTGTGCTTACTGGGGCTAAACTTTGTAAGCGACTGTTTTTGTGTTTTTTTCTATTTTTTTATGTAGGTGTTCTAAACCTCTCATTGACACAATTCAGATCATTTACCAGGCGGGCTTCGACCTTGCATGTCAGGACCAATCCAGGCTGGAAGGGATACAACATCCCAGCAGGAAGACCAAGTGCTTCGATTTAAAAATCGCCACCACTCGGTAATCGAACTCCGGTCTCTCTCTTTCTCTCTCTCCCTCCCTCTCTCTCTCTCCCTTTCTCTCTCTCTCTC